AAGGTTCCTAATCTGAAAGCTATAAGTGTTTCTAATAAATCTTTCTGTACTACAGGGCCATTGAGTAAGAGATCGTTCAATGAAATTGTTTTGTTCGTACGCATTGAGCCGTCGAACACTGCTCTTAATTTTGTAGAACGAGCATTCTCTTTAATTACAGCATGGTGAGGGAGAAAGTAAATAGGATCTTTCGATAAGTTATAGCTATTTATATTAATGTACTCACCATGATTTAATTCAATATATTCATCGATAGACTTTTTGTATTCGTGGAAAAGGTTTGTGTTTTTATCTAATTTCTTTTCCAAATTAAGAAATCGTTTATAGGCTAAGTGAAATGATTCTCCCAGTTCTAAGTTTATTTGATGTAACGGGACTTTAATAGGCATCGAAACTTGAAATGTATTATTGTCAAGCTTTGTAGTCTCATTAAAAAACTTTTCACAATACTCTTGTTCAGGTAATTGCTCGGGGAAGATTTCAGACACTAGCTCAGTTTCCCAAAATGCACTCAATGACTCATTTAAATTGCTATCACACTCCTGACAAAATAAAGATATAACCTGCTTACTGTTGGCAGTGTCATGGGCACTGCGTCCCGCTACTATGTGCCCAAATGATGTGTGAATTATAGATGGTTGCTCGGAGAATGTTGTGCCTGTTTTTGCAGGACCCTCGTTACTTGTTGACTCATGGAGTGGCATCAGGGCCTGGAAAAAGACATCAGCTCCTAACAATACATGTACATCACCAGGCATATTAAAGGTAGCGTCAGCTAGATTGCAGTTAGCAGGAAATGTTAGATTGGAAGTGTCGATAGGTGCTTGAGGCAACTTTGTGGTTATCGTTTTAACAATATGACAATTAACATTGACCTTATATGGATATACTATAGAGTGTACATCAAGGTTTATTTGCAAGTTAACTGTTTGCTCAGTGTTGCTAATGCCAATTATAATTGATGCATTGTTGTCGGGAACCTTGCCTAATATAAGGGCAAGTTTCTCAGTGATGAATGATAATTGTGAGGCACTGTCCAATAGTGCTCGTGCGTAAATAATCGTGCCTGTCTGGGAAATAAGCTTAACTCTAGCAGTAGGCAAAAGCACTTGTCCCCGAGGAGCGCTCGATAACAAACTGACAGATGGGCTCGATGGCTGTTGATCTGTTTGATGCAGTAATGTGTTATGAGGCTTTTTGCATTATGGAACATAAGATACATGTATCACTTCACCACACTTAAGCGTTTATGGAAAGACAGACATATTTTACACAGCTTATTTGCTAATACAAACTCTAGACGTTTTGTGGGTGCCGCCATTTTAGAATTTGGACATTGGAAAAGCTTGTGCGGAGACTTACAATAGGTGCAGGAGGTAGAAGCAGGTGCAGTTACAGCAATACTAGTCAACCGTTGGGGTTGAGGTTGCTTGTTGGGAACGGAGTCGTTTTCCAATGACAATGCTCGACGTTCCAGGTAACCTAAAAGCTCCCCTACTGTGGGTAAACACTTGTTGTCTCTCTCCATCTGGAATGCAGAGCGTGTAAGGTTGTCTAACTTCCTCACTAGCACACACACAAGCAAGCTGCTCCAGCTGTCAACGGGCTCCTCGAGGTTTCTTAGAGCTGCGAGTGTCTGTTTAACGTCTGAAATTAGTTTACGAATTGTGTTAGGAGTAGAACGAGTAATGGGTTGCAAATCTAACAGTGTATGTATGTGTTCGTGTATGATTTTAGTTTTAATATCATATCTCTCTTTAAGTAATTTTATTGCTTCAGCATAACTATCGTCCTTTAATGGGAGGTTTTTAATTAAAGCTGCTGGCTCATCACTTAGAAAACCTTTAAGATAATATAGCTTTTGAACAGGTGAGAGAGACTCATCTTTGTCAATCATTGCGCTGAAAAGGTTTATAAACGAGTAATACTCGGTATATTTGCCAGTGAATGTTGACATGACTACGTTAGGTAATTGAAGCTTTGACCTAATGCTCGAAGTTTGCTTACAATCTGAGTCGTTAAGCGTCTCATTTTTAGTGTTCAAATTGTGTTTTTGATTGTCTTATCGATATTAGAGAGAATGTCGAAGTATATTTCTTCGATTTTACTAAAATCCTCCGGATCTTCAGGATTTTGTGCACGTATTTGGATACAAGCATCGCTATATTCTTGAAAACCGCTGACGACCCTATCTCTTACAACTATAAGGCATTCTAGCGAACGTGATTGCAACTCACCTGATATTAGTGCATTATGAATTTTAGTAATAGACATCTTTGCATAGTCCCTTTTTGCAATATTAACTTTTGTGTCGGCCATGTTCACTAATAGGGCAATATATTGCTAGCTTTCCTAATGTTAGTTAATACTTAAACCGAAAAATACTAAAACTATGTGTATTTTGTTACAAGTAGTTACTACTAAAATCAAAATGGTGGAGTTGAATGACGCTTGATGCTTGCTTACGCGCAGTAAGCCGGGTTTCCACCGCGAAAGGGTAATGAGCGGGAAATGGTTAGGCGGGACGGACGCCTTTTAAATGAAATAGGTTTACATTTCCACCAACAAAGAGATTTGTCTGTTGATTTCCACTGCAAAAGGAAAATGAGAGAGAGGAGTCAGTGGAGCGAGCTGAACGGAAAATGAGAAATGGAAAATGAACAATCAGTTTACACAGAGAGCGAGTTCAGTTGGAGTTTTGAACTGGTTGCGTGCGGTAGGTTTTTGTTGCGAATTTGCGATGTTGTCGAGTGACACGGGATCAAGTGAAGACAGTGATTAATTAAAAATAAAAATTAAATTAAATTTTTTTTTATTTTAAATTTAATAATTAATTAAAATAAATTAATAAATTTAATAAATAAATAATTTAAATTTTATTTTTAAATTTAATAATTAATTAAATATTAATTTAATTTAAATTAATATTTAATTTAATTTGAGCGCGGGTGATGGAAACAGCGAGCGAGTCCGTATCAAACATGTCGGCGAGACCTTGCCACAGCGGACTCGTTTCAATCACTTTTTACTCGTTCGATCCACCCCGCTCAGCACTTTCTGTGTGGAAACGCTACTATGTAATTTGTCACTGCGAGTTGAACAGACTCCGTAATTACTCCGCTCTGCTCCCTAGAACTGAGCGAGTTCCTTTCAACTCTTTCTGCTCGCTCAGTCCTTTCCGCCCGACTATTTGTTGGTTGGAATACAAGTATGCAGTTTACTCTTGCGAGTTAGACCGAGTCCTTAATGGGTCCGTTCTGTACGAACCCCGGCTGTACGAACGTTGTCGGCGACCGCGTCGTTTGCTACGGTGAGGCGCGATGTGATTGGCTACTGGTTGCACTCGTACGTGATTCGTCGGTTTCGGCGCTCGTATGCTGTAGTGCCAACTGAAGGAAGTGAATCGCAGTTGACATTGACAGACAGCTTTTGTGTTTATCGACTCGCTCTTTCCGGTCCGGCTTCGCTTGTTTGTTTGATTGATGTGCTCCTTCCTCTTTGTCTTTGGTAGTATGTTGAAGACTTTGTGAATGCTTCGTAATAAAGATGGCGGGCGAATGTAATAAAGATGAGTTGGTAACTAACTTGATTGCTTTTCTTTCTACGGATACCTCTGCGTCCTGGGTTCTGCTTTTTAGCTTTTTGCTGCCCTCGCGGGAGAATTCTTAAAGGCGAAGACGGCTCGCGGGAGAATTCTTTAACGAAGACGGCGCGCGCAGACAAGGCGATGGCGCATCATAGAAGGACCATTATGAAGGGCACTAGTATGATTAGTTACCAAACACATGGTTATTCCTAGCTGCAGAGCGTGGACTGTAGATTGATTGATTCCAGGTGAGGTGACAGGCGTAGTAAAAACACTTATTTTTCATTAACTATTGCACCACTTTATTTGAGCACACATTCCAATGTATCACGGTGGAAGCGGAAGAAGTTAAAAATCCATAGACATAGATAGGAAGAAAAATTACAGATAACAAAAACTGTATCAATTGAATTATAGACTACAAATATTACATTATGTTGCGAACAGGCTGGCTGACATTTTTTGTAAGTTCCTTGTCCATATATTATAATGAGAACCCACACACTTTGAGAACTTTGCACTTTGACTTGTTGTACAAGGTATCTTGAAAAATGCTAGATGCGCTACTTTCAGTCTGGGCCACAGATATCTGTATCCGATTCGTGATCGTTTGCTTTATTCAGGGTAAAAGTTGAGATTTTATTTTATTACAGCAATTGCAAGAAATAATAAATATTTTGTAAAAAAAATCTTATACAGTTCTGGAAACATGGTTCACTTATTGTTCTCAATTTGGACATGTTCAAATATATTATGTACAACACAAAGGAAAAAGGGTTAATCAATTTATGTCCATTTAAATTGGTTTTTAAAATCAAAGAGAGCAAGAGAACAAGTAAGATTTTTTCTTCGTAATCCGGAACTCGCATACTCTTAGGTAAACCTGGTAATATAATATGTCAATCACAATAGCTCAGGCTGTTGTGTTGTGTAATTATAGGCACGTCCAAGACACTGCCTGGTTCATCATAGCTTGCACAAACGACAGTAATCAAAAAACAATAGAAGAAGTTCTAAGTAAGATGCTTTTAATACTACTACGGTTTCGAGTGGTTACACGATGAATGTAGAATCTGAAGGTATATTGTGTCTCGTGGCTACCACTACTACTTCCTCCGTTGAAAGCGTTTGAGAATAAAATTTGTATTATCCTAAAACTTGCATGAATTAAGTATTCATATACATTTTGCTTTAATAGACCTTTACGTTAAAAATGGACATAATAATCGCATATATTTTGAGCAGTAAATCAATCCCATAAAACATCATGTTAGACTTCATGTGAAGGACTTGATTGCGATGTCCACACATTCAAAACAATTATGAATACATATTTTACTTCTATCAGATTTCTTATATACAAGGAACAATAAAAACTTTATTTATGATTAACTTATATACAATATTTGATAATATGCTACTGAAACGGTTGGAAACAAAGCTTGACGAAAATCAGCCTTTGGGCAATAACGCACTAGCGGCCAGGCTGCAGCGGCCAGCGAGATGGATTCATTATTATGAAATCGCCATGAACCACGCGCACCTAGCCGCATGCGGCCAGCGGCCCCATCGAGCCGCGGCGGCCAACGAGATCGAAGCGCATCTGCGGCCCGTGGTTGGTCGCTGCGGCCACTGAGATTTAATTTTCCTGTAGATAAACACCAGTGTGCGCGCACTAGCCGTGGCGGCCGTGACGTATTTTCTTAACAGTTCTTCAAAGGAAGACTTGCTCATCCACAAATAATTTAAGAACTTGTCATCATATTGCTTAAGGTCGTTAAAATATATTGTATGAAATAATCACTTTGTAATCCCTTTCAGTTTTGGCCGCGTTGCTTGGCCGCTAGTGTCGATTTAAAACCACATTCACACAGTACAGCAAGTGCTAGAAAATAGTAAGTAGATTTATGTAGTTAGACTGTGTGTAGACTTCAGCTAAACTTTAGACTCTTGGTTCATGCCAAGGTTTCGAAGGCTCTTATCGATTAACTTAGATGAATTCTAAAAAATATATCCGTATAGCTTATATAATCTTAGAAAATTAAGGGAAAGAAAAACTAAGAAAAACTAACGTAAGAAGAAAAACTCTTGAAAATGCGAGGAATATCATACAATTAGTCTTATGAGCCACATGCTAAAGTTGGATATCAACTAACACATTAAATATTTGCTTATGATATTGTTCTATTTGAGTAAAAATTTTTCATTGCGTACTATCTATGGATATAAGCTATATCCACAGATAGTACGCACATACAGTACGTATGTCAAAAGTGGGCACCAATTCTTATCATGCTCTATAGTCTATACAATAGTAAGGGACATTGGAACGACCATTGAGAAGCTGAAGCGAAAGTGGACTGGACCGGTTATATGATGTAGTATGGAGAAATGGTCCAGTAATCTGAAAAAATTATGTGTACGTTTCGAAAAGCGTGGTAGAAGACGACAACATGAGCGACGGGATGCATATTCACAAACATGTAATAAAACACTATTTTGACCGGATTGAAGTTATGTATTATTATAAATTTACAACTATTTAACATAATTTTAAATTTATCCGACGTTTCGCGTGCTTTACAGCGAGCGTGGTCACGGTGACTGAAGACAAAAGATGTTGAATGTCAAAAAGTATCACAGCTGCAGAGAAAGTTGCATTATCTGTATTTATTTCCCCGGAGTTGGTATCGACTAAAAGATGGAGGGTTTTGCCAAAAATGGCTAACGGTGTCCTCTATTTTCGCGGATTGTTCTTTTTGAGATTTTAATTTGGATATTATTGGATCCCAGGTGTTTGACAATTTTAGGCCGTCTTCTCTATTGAAATTGGGGTGTTTTTTGATTTCAATGGCTTCGCGTACCAATCTTGGGAAGAATCTTTTCTCTTTCGCAAGTACTTTCGGTTGGTCAAAGCGTATGTAGTGATTAGGCCTAATCAGAACTAGAACAATCCGCGAAAATAGAGGACACCGTTAGCCATTTTTGCCAAAACCCTCCATCTTTTAGTCGATACCAACTCCGGGGAAATAAATACAGATAATGCAACTTTCTCTGCAGCTGTGATACTTTTTGACATTCAACATCTTTTGTCTTCAGTCACCGTGACCACGCACGCTGTAAAGCACGCGAAACGTCGGATAAATTTAAAATTATGTTAAATAGTTGTAAATTTATAATAATACATAACTTCAATCCGGTCAAAATAGTGTTTTATTAAATGAATAAAAGTTATGTTAATCAAAGACAATACTATTCACAAACATGATTGAAAATATATGGCAACGCGTCGCGTGCATTGAAAATAGAGGAATGGACGAATGGAGGAGAGTGGGGGAAGCGTTTGCCCCTTGGCAAGGGGACGAGGAGCTTGTGTTATATATTAAAATTACTGTATAATCTGAATAAAAGGCTTTATTATGTTGTTATTGATATTAATTAAACTGGCACGTGGCATATCCACGTTTTATGAAATACGCAAATTCTTAATTATAAGACGCTGACGTCATAGTTTCAATGTCAAGTAACAATAAAGTGGTTAGAATATCTATTAGTGTTTTTTATGCTAATTGCTTAGTAATAATTAATTTCGATAAGGTTTTCGTATTCTATTGTTAGGTGAAATATAGTTATTGTACTACTTCTAAAAAAGAGATTACATGGTCTATGTGTCGCAGCCAACTTGTTTATTTACTGAAGGTCTCGAGTAGTAGGGGGCAAAGACGCATCCGAAGGCCTTGTGCCACACCAAGTCGCTCTAAAAACAAAAGACAACTTGACTTTCTGTCTTGCTGCTGTTATCTCCGACAGATGGACATTGACAGCTGCCCATTGTGTCAAAATCAATACATATTGTGTTAACTGCGCTATCTAAGAGTATAAGAGGCTGCCGCTTTTTGTCTGACCGTTTGCATCATTTAAAAAAATTTTTTGTCTTAAGCCGTCAGAATTTACCGCTTTAGTTGGTAAATTATCGAGAACGAAAGGTGGTACAACGTATGAAATAAGTAAAGTAATTTCTCACAAAGAACATAACAAGCCAAATAGATTCAAAAACGATATTGAATACGAAAAAGACCATCGTATTCAATTTTTTTTTTATAGAACAGGGGGCAAACGGGCAGGAGGCTCACCTGATGTTAAGTGATACCGCCGCCCATGGACACTCTCAATGCCAGAGGGCTCGCGAGTGCGTTGCCGGCCTTTCAAGAATTGGTACGCTCTTTTCTTGAAGGACCCTAAGTCGAATTGGCGGAAATATTTCAGTGGGCAGCTGGTTCCACAAAGTGGTGGTGCGCGGCAAAAACTGCCTTGAAAAACGCTCAGTTGTGGAACGGCGGACGTCTAGGTGATACGGGTGGAATTTCGTACTCTGCCTCGACGTCCGATGACGAAACTCAGCTGCAGGTATTAATCCGAACAACTCCTCTGAACACTCTCCATGGTAAATGCGGTAGAAGATGCAGAGTGACCCCACATCTCTACGCAACGCTAAAGGATCAAGCCGCTCGGAGAGGGATTAGTCGTCGACGATTCGAACCGCTCTGCGTTGAATACGGTCAAGTGGAAGGAGCTGGTACTGGGGAGCCCCCGCCCAGAGGTGAGAGCAGTACTCCATGTGGGGCCGAATTTGCGCTTTATAAAGTTGCAAGCGGTGGCCCGGAGTGAAGTACCGTCTCGCCTTGCTGAGGACACCAAGCTTTTGGAGGCTTATTTAGCCTTTCCCTCCAAGTGACCGCGAAACTGAACGTCGTTCGATATGTCAACGCCAAGTATTCCAATGCTGGCTGTGGCTTTAAGAAGAGTGTTTTCGAAAAGAGGAGTAGCGACAAAGGGTGTTTTTTTAGCGGAAAACGCGCAAACTTGTGTCTTCTTGGGGTTAAATTGGACTAGGTTTAGTCTGCCCCAGTCTGAGACTCCACGTAGTAGAGTTTCGATTTCAGACACAAGTTTGTTCCGGTATTCATCGACAACTGCCCGAGAAATACCTGCCCGGCCAGTGTAAAGAGTATCCCCAGTGCTGTCATCCGCATAGCAATGAATGCTGCTAAGTTGCAACATATCATTGATATGCAGTAGAAACAGGGTCGGGGATAGAACACAGCCTTGTGGGACCCCCGCGTTCACGGGTTTAAAGTCGGAACATGCTCCGTCGATGACGACCTTGATGCTCCGATCGGCCAGAAAGCTGGAGATCCAATCGCATAATTTCTCGGGTAGACCATAGGCTGGGAGCTTCGAGAGCAGTGCTCTGTGCCACACCCGATCGAAGGCTTTCGCTATGTCCAAACTAACCGCTAGCGCCTCCCCCCTTGGACTCAATTGCCTCTGCCCATCTATGTGTAAGGTATACAAGAAGGTCACCAGCCGAACGACCACGACAAAAGCCGTACTGATAATCGCTAATCAGCTGGTGGCCCTCTAGATACCTCAAGAGCTGGCAATTAACAATGGATTCCTTTATTTTGGAGAACAAGGAGGTTATGGCTATTGGGCGATAGTTGGACGGATCAGAGCGATCGCCTTTTTTAGGGATCGGATGTATCGAAGCGGTTTTCCAGCACTTCGGGACAGTGCCAAGCGAGTACAGGTACCGGAAAAGGCGCGTCAAGACCGGAGCCAACTCAGGAGCATAAGTACGCAGCACAATTGGGGGATACCATCCGGCCCGCTCGACTTATGAATGTCCAAGGAAGATAGTGCTTTGCGAACAGCACGTTGCCGGAATGTAATTTCCGGCATCAAAGAATCACACCGCGAAATGGTCGGTGGTGATCTTCCTCGGTCATCCAAAGTCGAGTTGGACGCGAAGAGACAGCCCAAAAGGTCGGCCTTCTCCTTCGCAGTGTGGGCCAGCGAGTCATCCTCCCTGTGCAGTGGTGGAATGGCGGGCTGACAAAAATTCCCTTGAACAGCTTTGGCAAGAGACAAGAAGGCTCGATTTCCCGTTTGAAGGACCTGGAGGCTGAGTTATATGCTTTTTTTAGTTCGCTGGTATTGGCATCACGAGATTTCGCCGCTTCCGCCCATGCCTTAAAGCATTCTCGCTTTCGGCACGAGGCCGCCTTGCAAGAACGTTTGAACCAGGGCTGAGACTTGCCACCGATCGGCACCGCAGAAAATAGAATAAAGAGTTCCATGCCCTGCAGAACCACTTCGACGACAGAGGCAGCGACGGAATCTGGAGCTTCCGGCGAAAAGTACATAGGCTCCCAAGGGTAGGCCGCAAAGAAAGACCGCATCCCGTCCCAATCTGCTGACTTGTAGTGCCAAATACGGCGACAACCCAAAAAGCGGGGCCGTGAAGGGCGCGTAGAAGGCACAGTACTCCGGACCACACAATGATCTGATGAACCCAATGGCGGGTCAACAGAGACTTGATAGTTCTCCGGATGTGAAGTCAGCAGAAGATCCAACAAAGAGGGTTTATGACCATCCACATCTGGTATTCGCGTAATCGCAGGGACCATTTGTGTCAGGTCGTAGGCTAAAGCAAAGTCGTGAAAGGATCTTCCCGCGTGATCGGTGGTATCAGAGCCAAGCCAATCGGCATGGTGGGCGTTAAAATCGCCAAGTATCACGATTTCAGCGGTAGGAACCCTTTCAAGCAGGGAATCTGTAGCCATTTGAATGTGC